CAACATATGACAGTTCTGACAAACATGGAGCTAGTTCGCCTGAGACTGGTCGTCCTTCCTGGAGTGCCTCCACCACTTGCTTGAGGTATGGGTCCGCCAGGATTGCAGAGGTCAGTTCAGTCTTCGTGTTCTCACTTACGATGCTGGCTAGCACGCGAGTCGCATGGATGCATACGTCTTGTTCGCTTTCTCCGTCACTCGGTTGGGTTCCTGGAATTCGGGACAGTGTGTCCGCCACTAGCAGATGCTTCCCAGGAACATATTGCAATTTGATATCAAAAGGCATTAGCCTCAAGAAATAGCGCTGCAATCGTGGCGGCATTTCACTCAGGTTCTTTTGTGAAATAGCAAGCAAAGGTCGGTGGTCTGTTTCGACTGTCACTGATAACCCCAGTACGAACTCCCGGAAACGCTCACAAGCAAACGTCACGGCCAGTGCTTCCTTTTCAATTTGGGCATATTTTGTTTCAGCCTTTGAGAGCACCCTTGAAGCATAACCCACTGGGCGCCAATCTTGGTCATGGAGTTGAAGAAGAGCAGCACCTACTGCAAAGCTTGATGCATCAGCTGAGAGTTTCGTTTGCTTCAATGGGTCAAAAACTGCGATCACTGGAGCCGATGTCAAAGCCTTAATAAGATCTTTCCATTCTTTGTCATGGTGAACTTCCCATATGAATTCAACATCATTCTTTATCAATGACCTAAGGGCGTCAGTTCTTTTTGAGAGATTAGGTATGAATTTGCCAAAGTAATTCATAATACCTAAAAACCTTTGAACTTCCTGTTTACTCGACGGCTTTTGCATGTTGGCAACGCATTCAATGAGACTAGCATCGGGTTTTATTCCTTCTTTGCTGATACAATCTCCCAGGAATTTAACTTCGGCCTTCGCGAACAGACACTTTTCTTTGTTCAGTGTCAGGCCAGCCTTTCTCGCTGCCATCAGTGCTGCACGCAGGCGTTGATCATGCTGCTCTTTTGATGCACCCCAAATTAAAATATCATCGACATATACGCGTGTGCCCGGCAGGTTTTCAAACACTTCCGTCATTGCCTTCTGAAATACTTCGGGGGCGGACGCGATACCAAATGGCAGGCGCAAAAATCGGTATCTTCCGAACGGCGTGCTAAAGGTGCAGATCTTTGAAGTGTCTTCGTCTAAGGGGATCTGGTGAAACCCGCTATTGGCATCAAGCTTGGTGAACATCACCGCTCCTGCCAGCTCTGCTTCTATTTCTTCACGTGAGGGTAGCTGATAATGCTCGCGTTTAAGGCTTCGATTAATGTACCGCGGGTCTAGGCATATTCGCATGCGGCCATTCTTCTTCATAATAAGAACAAGTGGACTCACCCAGTCTGACGGCTCTTCCATTTTGCATATGATGCCCTGCGAGACCATCCGGGCCAACTCCTGCTTAAGTGGCGCTCGCAGTGCGTGTGGCACTTTCCTCGGCGGCATGATCGTGGGGCGCGCATCATCCTTCATTGCCAGCGAATATGGTCTACGGATGCAGCCCAGACCGTGGAATAACTCCGGGAACTCGGTGACCCAGTCGGTGCTAACGTCACTTCTTGAAGATACATCGTGAACGCGGGAAATCAGCCCGAAACGTTCTGCTGCATTCAATCCGAGTAGGACTTGCTTGCCTCTCTTGACCACAAAAAAACTGATATTCTCTTGCTGCTCTCCTAGACGTAGTGGCAGACTGATAACGCCCAAATGATGTATTTTGCTTCCTTCGTAGTTAGTAAGTACTGTGGTCGATGGCCGCACCATGGTCGGCAAACGCATCCTGCGAAAGTACGAGTACGGCAATATGTTCGCTTGCGCTCCTGTATCCACTTTCAGTTCTGTCGGGTGCCCGGCAAGGTCCCCTGCCACCGTCCAATCCTGATTTTTGGACACGTTTCTGATTTGTACCGTGAGAACTTGAATGTCTTCATCGGTAGCGTCCGAGGACTCCTCCAGTGCATCTTCTGTTGCAGCGACGCCTAACTCATGAACGCCGCGTCTACTCCTGCAGCAAGCTGCAAAATGGTTTCTTTTGTTGCACAGCGTGCACGTTTTTCCAAACGCTGGGCAGCGTCTTGGTCCGTGAATCTTGCCACAGTAGCCACAGCGTCGACGTTGTCCGCTCGTACGAGACTGTCCGGCAGCGTTTGCAATTTTTTCGACTCTCTGCACTTTCGCTTCGCTTTCAAGAGCCCGGTTCTGCGTTGCTGCCAGTTCCGCGGCTTTGCAGATTTCTACAGCTGATTCTAGGGTTAAGTCCTTCTCCTGAAGCAGGCGTGCACGTAGCTTCTTGTCGACGATACCGCACACTATCTGGTCCCTCACCATCGAGTCCCTAAGTTCGCCAAAATTACAAGTCTGTGCTTTCAACTGAATATCGCGCAAAAACTGTTCGAAAGGTTCACCATCCTGTTGTTGCCGACTGCGCAGAACGTACCTCTCGAATGTCTCGTTGCACCGAGGCGTGCAGTAGTCTTCGAAGGCTTTGACGATCGAGTCATAGTCCTCTCGTTGTTCTGCTGATAGAGGTAGGGTGTTAAACACTTCAATTGCCTCTGGGCCCGCGACGTGTAGAAAGATGGCAGCCTTCTGTGCTGGCGTCCGTTTCTTGTTGGTCTCAGTAGCTTTGAAGTAGAGTTCGATTCGTTGGCGGAACTTTTTCCAGTTGTCGGCCGGAGTATTTGTCAGTACAAGTGGCTCGGGTGGTGGTAGGCAGTCCATCTTCAGCGCAGGGTTCGACTGTTACACTTCTGACACCATGTTCTGCTTTACGCGCTCAGCAAAGACACAACCACACGAGACGCTAGCTAGCAAGGGACTGTTTATTGATGGCTGCCGCGCCGCGCGCGCGCCCTCTCTCAAGGTGGCCAGGTGAGGTGGGATCATCCCGATTTATTAAGCGGTGGCCCGCCTGGTACAGTAACAGATTGGCCGAGGTGGGCGCTGAGGTGCGTAGTAAGGCGGTGCACGCACTGGCAGTGACAACGAAGCCACAGGCATATGGTCTGCTAGTGTAGGCACAGAAACTGTGGGTGCGGCAGAGAGCGCGGCAACTTCGGCATACGTGGGCATCTGGTGCACGCAGGGACCGTTGGAACACGTCGGACGGGATGTGGACGCGATCTCTTGTTTAATCAGGTCTCGCAAGCTACCTTTTCAGAAGGGAGAGTAACTTCCGCAGCGCAGGAAGAGCAGCGCTCGTGAAGCTCTTCACGAACGATGTCGCGAATAAGCGCATGCAAATCGAAGGGTGCAGGCAAACGAATGTCGGTGGCATCATAGCAGAGGCGAAGAAACCGAAGATCGTAAGGTCGCTGACACATGGTTATCACGTCCTCGGTGGTGGCAGGATATTGCGTGGCGAGGGCCTTAAAGGCGACGATGTTAATGCTTTTAATAATGTGGCGTATTTGGTCGTTCTGAGACATAATGGAGTTACCACGCTTGCACGGCGCAAGGACATCCTCAATATAACAGGTGCAAGGTTCACCCGGCAGCTGCGTGCGTTCAGCGAGCTTTGCTGCCTCAGTGCGAACTGTAGGGGCACCAAAAATTTGACGAAGTTGCTGCTCCAAAGTGTCCCCGTCGTGAAGATCCGGGTGATGGTTCCAGAACCAAGTTTTGGCAACATCAGACAAGTAAAATGGGACGCTGCGCAACTCATGCGGATTGTCTCACCTATTCAAATCGCTGACGAGGTTGTAGTTCTTGATACAGTCTTCTACATCATCACTTCGGAGACCAGAAACCACAGGTGGATCACGCAGGCGAATGTTGTTGAGCGAAGCGGGTGTTGGTGGCTGCAGTAGTACGGCGACGTTGGATGGACCAGGGTTTTCTTGGGCCGCCATGGCAGGGGGTTGTATGCGACGACCCGAGCGGAGCTCCAGCGAGAACGGGCGAGAGGAATTGGGGGAACGAAAAGCATCGTCCACCACTTGTGAGGAACCCGTTTATTCAGCCAGGCTTGAGCTAAATAACACTGGTGATGATATTGTTGTTGTTGTTCACCTATTGATAGTGGAGCATACCCACTATGGGGGATTGGTCAAGATTGAAGTGGTTTTAAAAATTACTGTTCAGATTTGGAATAATGGAGGTATAACAGAAAAATTACCGATAGCCTAGGAAAGTGCAGTGCATAATGTGATGCATACAAATATTTACATAAACAAATTTTTCTTAGAATAGAGTAATAATCTGATTTTATACGTATATAATTATGTGGACATGTTAGGATAATGGAACTGGTTAATTAGTCAACCTATTAGTTTCATCAATATAGATCCGGACGGCCACGCATACTGTTGCATTAGAGAAACCAGAAATGGAAGCTCCAAAAGACAAAACGACAGGCAGAGATAAGTCCATACCAATACCACGTAAAGGTATTTCTAAAAGGGTTTTTCGTAATGTATTAAACCGCCTGCAGGTCAAAAAGAAATGATCTATTGTATTTACAGATGATGAAGATGTACGGGTGATGGTGATATCTAAAGAGATTGAAGAGTCACTCGCTTGTCGCGTTCACAATATTTCTAACTGCAAGAACAAAATTGGTGGTAAATATTAAATTATTTGCGATGTTTTGTGAATCACATGTTGGCACGTATTCGCGGTTTGCACCACGGAAACGAGCGACATGTCAAGAATGCAGCGGGAACTGTTCGTGAAAGGCTACATATTACGCATGTGCCATAATGAAGCACTGTGAATTTTCTACTCTTTCCTTTTCCCCTTTTATTCGTTTGCACACGCTATGATGTTTCCGTGTGCAAAAGAGTGCGCCGGGATACAAAGTTCCGAATATAGTGGTGCCGCTGTCTGAATGGCGCGTAAAAGGTGTCTAGATTTGTTGGAGTTAGATAGCTTCATGCACGCTGGTTGTCTCAATCAGGGACTCTCAGATGCATGGAGCCCAGACACTGGCCTCATGAAACACCACTTTTATCTCTTTTTTATCACCATCAAGTTATAATGTGCTCACCATTGTTGTTGAGTACGTCACAGACGTTGTAACTGTTGTAAGATGGAGCAGGCATGAAGCTCGACTCGCAGCTGCAGTTTTTCAGCACGGCTCCTTGCTGACACAGCTTGAGGCAGAGCTGTGAACACAGGTTTTGTACGTAACTAGAGCAGGGCTTGTCAGCATCGTGATACAAGAGTATCGCGATAGCATCTTAGAGTTACTTTTGAGTATATGTATATCTGTATCGAAATACATTTGTAAAATTATTTGTATCTCAGTATTGTGAAATATTTTTGCGATCTATCGATTATACCGTGATTCAGTGCAGGACGCACATATCTGCTTACATTATTTTTTCTAGAATTAAGTTGACGTGATTCCAAGGAGAAAGGAAGACATTTTGTCTTACTCCAAGCAAAGGTACTCAAGCGGTCAGAGTCACAGTGCATGGGGGTTCTCCACTGGCCCATATGGTTAAACCACGTGACGCCCCTGACAGCATAATTTCGAAGCGAGTATTGCCACCATTTGGTTATGAATGTAACTATCTCCCAAGGGAGATCCCGCACGCCTAGTTTCTTTGACGTCAAGCCTTTTCGCGAGTTTATGCGTCTTGCCTTGAGGCAGAATGGGCGCTGTTTGAGAAACAACTGTAGATTTAGTGCACTTAGCCATGTGTCTAACAGCCCTCGAGTAGAAAATAAATGTATGCCTTTTCGTAATGCACTGTCGCTTTCTAGTGATCTGGACAATATTATTGATTTGCACGTTTCGGCACGTTAGAACAATAATAGTAATATTACCAAACCTGCCCCGAACAAATGTCTTAGCTATAGCATAAGGAACTTCAAAATAAACAACGTATTCCAATATTTGTATTCTGGTATTCGTATCTCTGCGATGGTATTCCGGGATACTTTTTCGTCTTTTTGCAAATGTATCTCCGAAATATTCCGTTACGTGAAAATCAAGTGTATTACAGCCTATGTATCTTACTGTCCCAGCCCATGCATTTTAATATCTGTTCTCCGGAATACCTTTCTAATTTTTTCTGCCCAGCCCTGGCGTAGAAGGAGTTATCTGAGCAGCGCTACAAATACGCGAATGTTTGTTTCATTCTTTGAAATTAATTACATACGGCATCAGCGACAGCTACAAGGGTATTTATGAATATTCGGAGGGATACTGGGCATGACACTTGATTTTCAGAGGACGACTATTGCGTGGTTATTGCGCGTACGCAACACATATTCCTGTTCCCACTTTCGTCTTCATCACTCTTTTTCCCCTTTACCCTGTACATACGAGCAGGACAGTGCACTGGAGCTCAGGCCTGCCTCTCTGCCTTCTACAAAACTCACGCTCTCTCTTTCTCCCTCTTGACATTGATTCTGCAGCTACATGTAACTTTGTTTTATGTTGTTGCATGCCAGAATAAACATACTACGACGACTACTACTCCTCCTACAACACAACTAATAAAAGGTAATAATAATAATAATAATAATAATAATAATAATAATAATAATAATAATAATAATAATAATAATAATAATAATAATAATAATAATAATAATAATAATAATAATTGATGTAAATACTTCTAATGGTGGTGTGGCACGTGCTAGAACATGTAATATCCAGTCAGATTCCTTTGAAATAAAACCTGTTCAGGCAATTAACTCTGATACTGAAGTATAGTTCGATTATTTACTCGGAAAAGTGCTTCATGTTCCCCTTCGAATTGATTTTCTCTCATCTATCACGTCATGAATTTCACACGTTCTGGAGGAAATGCACAGGGTATAGCCGCCAAGCGGAGCTATCATGCTGTTAATCACCACGTCTTTCCTTTGGGCTTATCTTTCTCTCTCAAGAAAGGGTCGGCGACACATAAGGCCACCTCTCCGTGTTCGAAGAAAACAGTTCCCGCTTAATTTTCATCTGCGTAGTTCACCGCAGTGGTGCTCGGCTGCCCACCCGAAAGTCGTGGGTCAGATACCGGCCGCGGTGGTCTTGTTTCGATTGATGCGAAATGCCAGAGGTCCGCAGACTGAGCACGTTAAAGAGCACCAGATTATCGAAATTTCCGGGGCGATCCACTGCGGCTTACATCATAATTATATATCGTGGTTTTGGAACGCAAAACGACAGATATATATATATATATATATATGGGATATGGCACAACGGGAGCGTTGTCAACAAGGATAAATATATTTATTTCCCCACAGTTTCGGGAGGGGTCCTCCCTTCATCAGGGGATGAGTTATACTGACATGAGTTATACTTACATGAGCACCCCTCCCGAAACTGTTGGGAAATAAATATATTTATCCTTGTTGACAACGCTCCCGTTGTGCCATATCCCATACCTTCACGAAGACTAACTGGCCCATTGAATTATTACTCCCACTATATATATATATATATATATATATATATATATATATATATATATATATATATATATATATATATATATATATATATATATATATATATATATATATATATATATATATATATATATATATATATATATATATATATATATATATATATATATCAAATAACGCTGGTGCGCCGACAAGCCGTGCCTCTAGAGAGGAGCATGCACTGCTAGATTCGTGAACAAAAACGTACCGCCCTGCTGTAGACTTTTCCAAGTGATGCATTGGGTTGGAGGCTGTTCGAAGGCCATGTCGGCACGCAGTTAGATGGGTAGGGAGCCTTTAGGCGGTATATGCTATTCTGGAAGTGAAAGTGACAAGAAACAATTCACTGATGACTGTTCACAGTTTTACTTGTCTTTGATTTTGTCTAGACAGAAAAAAATAAAAAAACGGAAAGATCTGTTTGGCATTGCAGCAAGGTGGGTAGTCTTAAGTCTTTATTGTGCTGACGCTGGTATTTCCAAGTTGGCAGGTTAACGAATCTTTCTTCCTTTACGCATGCTGAAGTGAGTGCAAAATATCATATACGCATGCCTAAACGTGACTTGTGCAAGCTAGCAATGAAAGGCGAGAAACTTGTTTGCCGCACGCCTTTCCTATATTCGTAAGAGTTAGCTGGCGGCTGGGCAAGCATCACACGCAGCAAGTACTGAACAACAACAACAACAACAACAACAACAACAACAACAACAACAACAACAACAACAACAACAACAACAACAACAACAACAACAACAACAACAACAACAACAACAACAACAACAATAACAACGACGACGACGACGACGACGACGACGACGACGACGACGACGACGACGACGACGACGACGATGACGACGACGATGACGATGACGACAACGACAACGATGAAACAGCAAGAACAACATAGTGGCACCTGCTTTTCATCATTATGTATGCCTTTCATGCCATGCCATGGAAGCCACTGGTGGATGTAATTGGAGATTTACCATGGTGACGCCCACGTAGGTGGTCTGTCCAGGGGCTACAAAGATGCCGTCGGTAGCCTCTTCGGGATCGTGTCCTTGCTTGTGTATCATGACCATGTATCCGGCTTCGGGTGTGATGGGAAGGTATTCGTACTGCTCCACTGCGATAAGCAACTCCAGACCTACAACAGTGACAGATTACAAACTCTTTTGCTTCGTTGTACAGAAATCAGCCCTGCACCAACAGCTGTCTGCGGTAACGCAGTCGCAAGATCATCGTGCTAAAGCAAATCAGTAAGGCACGCAAGAATTTGAATGATATGTGGTGTTTAACGTACCAAAATCACCATATGATTATAAAAGACGCCCTAGTAGCGGGAATCGGAAATATTGACCACCTGGGGTTTTTTAACGTGCACCCAAATCTGAGCACATGGCCTTACACAGAATTTCTACCTCAGTCACGCAAGAAAGCAATTCAATGCTTCAATTGTGTGAACCCTACACAAAGCGAACATGCACCAAGATAGAGTTGTGTATCTTTCGCCCTAAAGCTTGGACTAAGTAACGCGTGATTTTTCTAGGTCATTATCTCTCATTGAAAAGCTCTGATCGTGTTTCATATCACCTTGTTCCGGCCTTCCAAGTCTCCTGTAGCGAAATACGGGCTCATTGTTGCTGTTGCAGTGAAAGCAAAAACAATTCCCGTATCTGGAACTGAAGACGAGGGTGAACATTCTGCACAAAAAGACAAAAAAAAAACTCGGCTTAAACATGCCCATTTTCTTCATTTCTTAGAATTTATCACAAATATGCATAATAGGCAATTGTGAAGTTCACGTCGTGTTTTTATTTTTTGTATACATGTCATGCTCTAGATTATGTTACGAGCGTTTAGACGTTTTTATTTTTTTTGTCTGTACGCATTTTACGCACAGTTTTGAGCTATGTGCCTTTTACAGCGGCGCACTTTTCTTTTTCATTCTTCAGTGTCTAACACACACACACACACACACACACACACACACACACACACACATCTCTCTCTCTCTCTCTCTCTCTCCCAATATATATATATATATATATATATATATATATATATATATATATATATATATATATATATATATATATATATATATATATATATATATATATATATATATATATATATATATAATAATGAGATCTAACAGACAGTAATGCCAAGGAATGTACAGGGGAAGTTGTTAGAACGAATGAAATGTAAATAAGAAGAAAGAAAAGTGGATGAGAAAATAACCAGCCGTGAGCAGGAATCGAACCTACTACCTTCGAATAACGCGTTCGATGCTCTAACCACTGAGTTACCACAGCGGCCTTCCCGCCATCCACTTTTTTGGGTTTATATGTGAATTTAGAAGTAGGAGTGACTGTCAGCGCCATCTATAAGCCAAGCGACGAGTGTGAAAACACTCTTTTATGCGCATGTTTGGCATCACGTAGCACGTGAACTTATTATGAGCGGGCAGCTGATTAATAGTCCCTGGTATACAACCTAACGACACCAAGTCTGCCAGTACGAGAACCTCGTTTAATGAAATAAGGGAAAGAAGTGTATACCTAAGGGCTCGTTTTTCCGTGTTTTAACGCAATATTTATTTCTTTCATCATCTTTTCTTTCTTCCTATTTACATTCCATTGGTTCTAATAACTTCACCTGTACATTCCTTGGCATTACTGTCTGTTAGTTCTCATTAATATTGTGTTAAAACACGGAAAAACGAGCCCTTAGGTATACACTTTTTTCCCTTATTTCCTTAAACGAGGGTCTCGTACTGGCAGATTTGGTGTCATTAGGTTGTATACGAGGGACTATTAATCAGCTGCCCGCTCACAATAAGTTCACGTGCTACGTGACGCCAAACATGCGCATAAAAGAGTGTTTTCACACTCGTCGCTTGGCTTATAGATGGCGCTGACTGTCACTCCTACTTCTAAATTCACATATAAACCCAAAAAAGTGGATGGAGGGAAGGCCGCTGTGGTAGCTCAGTGGTTAGAGCATCGAACGCGTTATTCGACGGTCATAGGTTCTATTCCTACTCACGGCTGGTTATTTTTTCATCCACTTTTCTTTCTTCTTATTTATATTCCATTGGTTCTAATAACTTCCCCTGTACATTCCTTGGTATTACTGTCCGTTAGATCTCAATAATATTGTGTTAAAACACGGAAAAACGAGCCCTTAGGTATACACTTCTTTCCCTTATATATATAGATGTAAATATATATATATATATATATATATATATATATATATATATATATATATATATATATATATATATATATATAAATATAAATATATATATATATATATGTGACCAGAAATTTGGCAAAAAAAAGGCATAGCACATTTATCACTACCTTCATTCTCAACATTCTTTACCTGAAATGTGTTCATTTTACTCCAACAGACGTTATCGCGGAAATAAATAACACTTGAGAAAAAAGGGCAATATCGACTTTGGTTGCCTTCTTTGAAATTGCAAATGTAGCACACTATTGGACGGAGTAAGAGTGTGCGATTCAGAAGCAGGGAAATAAGGTGGAAGTACTCGTGAAATAATTTCCACCATTTCATTATTTATATCTAGATATATCAATAGAAGACTGATCACTTCCCCTTATTGTCCTGTCTTGTGTTAGGAATGTTCTTACCGGGAGCGTCACATGACGGCGACGATGTCTTATACAAACAGAACATCACTCGAGGGTTGTGATTATTTTTTTCGCAATCAAGAGTCGACGATTCAGAGCAGGTGTTTGCTGAATTCGAGTTCGGTCAGCACGGACTCATCGGCGTGGACTCAAACAGGTGGCATAAAATACTGCGACCACCCTCGAGAGTAATTGAATCGTACATTCTTTCTAATGAATGCAGACCACATAGTCGAAAAAAAAACAACCCTATTTGTCTATGCTTAGCTAGGAGTTCTGCGACAAGGACTGCTGCATACTGCCATCTTCATTCGCGTGTGATAAAGCAGATATTTTATCAGATACTATAGGTGATACTGTTTGTGTTTAGTTAATTGCATTCTTAGAGCAGAAGATGCCTACGATGACACTGTCGTCTAAAGGAAATCGACTTTCGCCGATCTAACAAAAGTCTATCGTTAGTCAACTCCATGAGCCAGAAGGATGTCTGGGAACAGTAGATAATCTGCTTTTAGGTATATAATGCGTCAATATATCGTTTCACCTTAGCCAAGTAAAATAATGCAGATGTTAAGGAAAACATGAAGGGTTGAAGTAATGAAACGTCGTTGAACAAAAGACTTCACTGGTACCAATGCTCCTGCAAGTCTTCATTGAGGTAGCCCCAATGTCTTCTACGACAACCCAAGTTTGGTTATTTTTATCATGGCAAGCTTGAACAGCACCGCGCTGATGCGGACAGACGAGAACGCGCTCACACAAACATCTACTGGGATTGTTTGATTTCCTATATGTATGAGACGCACTTGTATACGTACACGAGCAGGTGAAAACAAAGCAAGACAGATATATAGTACTCAAACGCGCATGTCTTGCCGCAGTCTTAACACATTGCAACCAAACTAAGTACACGGATAGAGAAATCTCATTTCCTTGTCGGACTTTGACAAAGATGGCAAGCTACACATTTATCGTTCTTTTTTTTTCATATTTCACAGGCTTTAACGGTCTTTCTCGTCAATTTGTCTTACGGGTAATTGAGAACACTCGTTTTATCAAACATCAGAATATATTTTTGACAAGATATAGTAAAATACCCGGAAGCAAATTTTGTGATGTTGTACTTATGCTATATGAACCGGTACGAAGACGCTGCATGTGATAAAACTAGGGAAAAAAAGACTATCTCTCTGAAGGGAACAACGGCTAGTCTGTCCAATGTGCAATTCACAAATATTGTGCATCTTGCTAAGTGTCATTCATCTTACTAATCCTTGCTAAAAATGTGGCTATATTGCGATGCTTCATAAAAAGTATTCTCAACTGGACAAAAGATTGTTTGACTAGGCAAATGATTGAATTCTGTGACAGAAAAAGAAAGAATGATAAGTGAGTCATCATGTCAACTTTGTCATGGTCCAACGAGAAAATGAGATTTCTCAATCCGACACCACAGTTTGGTTACAATGGGTTGAGATTGCGGCAAAACATACGAATTTGAGTTCTTCTTTAGTATCTTTAAATACAGCGCGACGTGTGCGTGTGTGTGTGTGGGTTGGACTTGTTCACGTTCAGTCAGGTTGTTAGAAAGGCCTTATCAATCGACTAGCCTGGCAACGCACTTTGACTTTAATCGAAATGAAAGAACGAATATTTATTTTTTTGGTCGCGCAGGGCGAGTCCAGGAACTTCGAGCCGTCATATGAAGCTACTAAGACTACACTGCCAGCCCATTTTATGAAATGAACACCTGTCTCTCTCTCACACACACAAAGAAACAAAGAGACCATGAACCTGTTTGGTGTGTTTTCCTCGTATGATTGTAGCACTAACAATTGTCATGCATTGCGGTGATTGTGGGCATGTGCTTTGTTTCTATCTCTATGTCCTTGTTATCTTTCTATTCCCCTATATCCCCCAGTGCAGGGTAGCAAAATGAATGTTCTTGCTGGCGTTTCTGCTTTTACACCTCTTCTCTGCATCTCTCACTAAGTTAGATACATAATAGTTTTGCATCGAAGACGTTTCGAAGCTTGGTTGCGCTAAAATGAAATTGCCAACCTGTCCAGGTCGCATTTAATTCCTTGAATGCTGCAGGTCCTGAGTAGATCGGGCAGTTGATGGCCCAACGTCCTTGCGAGTTCCGGCTCAGTCCGCTGCTTAGTGGCCAGCCACATGACGAACTGTTCTAGCTGGCCTTCATCCTCACCTCGAGTCTATTGGAAATCATAAAAACCAAGTCGGTTTGGAGGCACCAGGCATCAGCCACAAGCATCATCAGACTACAGCTACACCACATGCATTCACTTTCTTAGGGAGCATATGTCGTAAATCAACGTTGGGAAACGTAGCCTTGAAGAAGCAAGAATTTTTTTATTGGTTGCCAGGGTAGCAGCGATGAGTAAACGTGAAAACTTTAGGCAGTAAAAATGTGTACTTTATGTGTGATACACATAAAAATTTTCATGAACTGCTGAGAGTAACCATTACACTATTCGACATTTGCCGTTGATATCAGAACAGTGGGACACTTCATGCTGCAGAATTGTGCTTTACGTCCGAATAAAATAAACACTTGGTATTTTTACACAGTGCACGAGAAACCTCTTTTCGTGTATTTGCTTTAATTTTTTTCTATCAAGAACGCATGGCAGAAATGAATTAAGTCAGTACAGTACCTACAATGCAAATCTCTGATAAACAGCTAATAAATAAAAAAAGATAGAATATTTGGTATAAAAAGCGTAACAGCAAAAATGGGAAAAAGATTTTGCATACGTAATGAGTTGTGTAACTCCTTCCATTTTTACCGAAAAAGTGATTGCTATGGCTTATCTTGTTCTAGAAGAGCAAACATGTTAATTAACGGCAAAATTTGGTCAACTCGATAGTAGCAGCAAGCTACACATTGTAAAAGCTCTGTGCTACTTTAGTTTCTCTAGCGCGACAGTAAGCTTGATCATGCTAATTTGGCTGGTTGACAAACTGCTCATTCCTTGCATCTTCATACACGTTAATAATTTCTGTAGAGCTGGTATTCCACGAAATACAAGGATCCATGGTAAATTGATGTCTACCTATTGTTAAACTGCCTATCGTGATATTTAATGTTCGGGCTTCCAGCTTATACTTGAGCTATACCATTTACTACCCCGATAACTGCACCAGCTTCACTAGCTTATTTGGGCTTTAAAAACTTTCACTTAGCGTCCTCTTGCGGGTAGCTTTGCTACTCATTTATGACGTGCTCACCACAGTCATCTCAGCCGTCTTGTTGCAGAGGAACTCCTGCAGTGTGTAGTCGAGGTCCGTCTCCTGTCCGCACAACAGGCTCTTTCGCACGGGGTTCAGGTTGCACAATGTCACTGCCGGAAACTCCACGTTGTAGACGTCCTCCAGTCGTATGTTCACAGTGAGCGGGTACTGGAAGTACTCGTGCATCAGTTCGTACAAGTTACTCAGCGCCACCGAGCCGAGCCCGACGAAGGCCACGAACCAAATGATGATGCGAAACGGGTTCCGAGCTTGCGCCATCTGAATGAACCCGGGAACCGTGGACTGTGAGTACAGGCCTCGAGCCGTCAGGCAGCAGTTGGCCGTGGCCTCCTGCACACCCGAACGTGCTGACGTGGCCTTGTCTCTGAAGAAGGACCCACGTCTCCTGCTCAGGAGTGGTTGCTGTAGCAGGCTTCGCGGTTGCTGCGCCTGCCGCAAGCGGCTCAAATCGATCACTGAAGGCGGTGTCGGTTTGAAGTTCCTCCGGTTGTTGCCGAAGAAGTTCGTAGCACCGCGTCGCCACTCGCCCAGTCGCCGCAGGTACGACTCCATCTGGGCGAGGCCTAGTCCACGTTCTCGAGACAGAGTGGTATTTGATGCGGACGCTCGAGGAACGAGGTATGTGGTGTTCGCCTTCGCCTTTGCAAGGCCAAATTAACGTAACCAAGCGGGTGCTAGAATAGTCCTGATGAAACAGTCATATGAACTCGTGCGGTACGATTTGATTGTATAGTAATTTATAGTGATGCTGACTTCGTAGAATATCGTTGAAGGGCTGAGGCGTGCAGGTACCCTTTCAGCGCAGCTTCGGAAAGATGTGTCTTGCGGATCCCAATGAAGCGCAGCCATTGTGATCCATTCATGTTCAGTGGAAGTTCGTACTTATCCGCATAACCAGAGTTTATGCACCAGATCTCCAGCAGGCTTGTTCGTTGACTTGTTTTCGCTAAGCACATCTGCGATACCGTGTTACAATCTCAAAACCTCTCATGGTCGATCGCTCGAAGAATGAACGCTGCGCGATTATTAAGTACTGACTTGGGATAGCTGAAGGAACAAGTCCATACATGCCGGGATTCCAAAGGGAGTTGTTGACAGTCCAGCACGCGACCCATGCACTGTCAGCACTGTCGATCCGAGCTGCCCCGGTTGTTGGCGAGCACTCTTCTTGTACTGGGTGCCACGTGTAAACCCGTGACTCACATCGATGTACTTTGCGAAGGTCGGATGATCGGCTGAACACATCGATTCCAAAGCCTCAGTAGGTCATCTGGGCACGGCTGTTCATATGCACCAAGGAAACAGGCTCGACGGGAAATGGATTCACTGAAAGCACTGCGTTAGCGATGTTGCCTAACGGGTCGCCTCAGGAGCCTCGCAGACCGGAAGGCGCTTGAAAGCATATCTACGCAGTCAGCGTTTCGTGATCTGTGTCATTAGCCATGAAAGGGTTCTGGATATGCTACTGAAATTTTCTGGATTTCACTTGTTTCATTATATTTTTGGGAGGAAATGTCAAAGAGCTCCCAACTATAAAGATCTAGCATTTTTTCGGCGTTACAAAAACTTTTCTTTCATACATTTTAGTTTCCTAATTCTCTCGTTCAACAAAAATAAACTGCTCTGTAACATATAAACGAAAATTATAATTATAAATGAAGACATATAATTCAAGAAGTATACAACCCTTGGTCAACCTAAATACATTTCTCGATCAAAAGTGGGACGACGCTTGAGCATCACCTTCAAGAGTAGATTGCGATAGCATAGTCGGGCCTATAGCGCGCGTCGCCTTCTAAACTGCTAGTGTGCTTCAGTATCCAGTGCATACCTCAAGCTAGCCGCAAGGAAACAAAGGAATGTGTGCGTAACATTAGTTGATTCAAAATATTATGGAATGCCTAATGCAAGCATAGTTGTTAAGGGCTGACTGTGCCATAGTTTTTCTTTTTGAGAATCAGCGACGGGCCCACTACGCCTCCGTAGGCAAATACGCGAATTTACACAACTGTTAATTTGATGATGATGATTAAATATCTGTGAATGCTTTGTAATGCGCCGTCTTTTTGAACACCCGCTCGTTGCTCAATTCACATCCTTAGACGCCTGGTGTGATTTTACGATTCTACCAGGCTTTACATGATGCGTTAACCGGGAGACTCCTTCACTACACCACATTCATGTTTTTCTATAACAGTTTCAAGAAATAATTTGCCTAAATAGTAGAACACCTGCTTTCCACGCAGTCAGCCCGGTCCGGGTTCGATTTTTGCTAGCCGTATTTTTTTAATATTGTTGTATCAGCATCTTTCTTGACTTTTGAGTCATAGACAAGATGATGATCTTTCGCTCACAACCAACGATGCTAATGCCGGCACCGACGCCGACACCAACGCCGGAATTTCTGTGATACGAGCTCCTTAACACTAACGTGTTATCAGGTACAAAGCCCTAATTTGCTTGAAAATGGTCGCCTTGGCGATGCTAAAGTGAACTAGAACAGATGAATGCTCGTGGTGGCCACAGCACCAACGCGCGGAAAGTGAACCCAATCAGGGTCAATAAGCTCGTGGTGCTGCAGTCGGTGGCCCGCAATGTGTCGTCCTTTTGAAAGATACGCGTGGCTTCGCCAGAATGATGCAGAGAAAGAATGCCCACTTCTCGCCCGAAAAAACCAGGTTCGAATTGCGGCTGCGAATGCTGAGTCTTTATTTTTCAGTTCAACTTCTTATATCTGTATTGTTTTTCTTTGTTCTTAATATTAGCTTCATTTGGTACAGGTTGCTATAGAACTGTCTTGAAATGTGAAGAAAGAGTTCGACGCCAATTGTAAATATTTGCAGCGCCACCGCGTGTGATTTAACAAAAACGTAAAGTATAGTCTCTGAGATTTCTCTGAGAATTCTCGGAGATTTCTCCGAATGTGGCCTCCGTGTCTATAGGAGTTTTCGTCCTTGTTTAACGCTGCGGCCGCACGAACTGCTTTGGCCGTCGGAAGCGCTGTCAACTTTAGAGAGCCGGAATCACGGAAAACTTTATTCAGCTGATAATTAGGGGCAAATGTGCCGTTGTGATAATGAGACCGTGAACGAAGAGTCAGCCTATATCTCAGATTACACATGAAGGGTGCCGAATACGGTTCGGTTCATTTTTCTCTTCTTTTTTTGGTATACTACGCTGGGAGTGCTTTTGAGAGGCAAATAGGTTATTGCATCCGCGGGGATAAACAAATGTCGAGAATGCAAAAGAGGCTCATCATTGGCACTGCGCATGCTCAGATGTGGCTTATTCGCGACTGTAGAAGTCGCTCCTGCAGTTCCAAGCTCGATGGACCGTAGTTCCAGGCATGAGAGTTGACCAGTGTACAAGGAGTTAACTTTCTATGAGAGTTTTGTCATAATAGTTCGTGACGTTAAAATCAAATGCCTCGCTATAGGCAAATAGCTGAGAACCTTGGAAGGGTAAGTGACAGGAAAGTGACAATTTGAGAAACCTTACTGCGGAGCCCACGTGCCGGTAAAGTCGCTATATACGCCTTTTGTTTCAGTGTTCCAGACGCGGACGGACGTTAGAAAGAAAACGAAAGATGCCATGACGGTGCCGCTCTACCACAACGTTACACGGAAGGATGAAACAATAGAGGCTCCCATAATAAAACTACATGGTTCTGTATCATATAGAAAACTTGCAAAAGAGACTGCGTGGACTTTTTTATTAGGGAAATATTTTCTTTGGAGCCTAACCTCAGAAGAAAAGTAAGAGAAAGAAGCACGATAGAAAACGTATAAGTCAGTCATAGACTTTCGAAACAAAACCAATTCAAAGAAAATCAACCTGAAACTGAAGCAGATAGATAGATAGATAGATAGATAGATAGATAGATAGATAGATAGATAGATAGATAGATAGATAGATAGATAGATAGATAGATAGATTTTAGAGTATGATTATTGTGAGATGGTATGCAGAGATACCCAGTCTGATTGTTTCTCGCAAAAGTTTTCCGTAATTTAATTATGGTGAAACAGGGTATGCTCAAAGTTAGAAAGGCTAGCTTAGTTATCTCACCGATATTCTTAGTCATTTTAATATTTATAAGTTTTATGTATTGCTCTATGCTTGGTTGTCATTTTCGTTTGCTCAAAAACAAAAAGAATATTTTTGTGTGTTTCGGTCGCTGACATAGTGTCCACAGCCGGTCGGCAATAACTGATCACTCGAAAGGCTTTTTTCCGCCCTGCCGTACTTTATATTGCCTTCTGTGCTGCTGTTGAGGCTATGTTTTCTTTCATTTCACCATTGTGGAGCATTTCACATTGTCTTTGTAGCAGGCATTAAAGTACCTTTTTACCTTCTTGATCATTTTTTTCGAATTCTGGAGAACCAGCTCAAAGAGGCCGCCGAGCTCACAAGGAACGGCGACAAATTAATTACTTCCTCTCTCTTTGTTCCTGGCTGCACAAGAAGACTGCAAGCGTCGCACGTTACGGTGGTGTCCCCAATCTTTCTCGTTAACAAAGCAATCTTCATAACGAGGACGCGTATACCACTATGTCAACTGTAAAAAAAAAAAAAATCGGCGGGATATTCCTCGCTTTGTGTGCAACAAGATTTAGAGAAGCGCGAGCACACTTCGCAGGCCAGGTTGTAATAACGCAATAGCGTTAAGGAGCTCCCTTCGCAGACATTCCGGCGTCGGCGTCAGCGTCAGCGTCGTGGTATGTTAGGGGAAAATACTCATCGCGTCCCTGACTGAAAAAGCGAGAAATATGCAAATCAAATAAATATTAAGAACTTTCGGGTCGGAGTGAATAATGAACCCAGACCGTTTGCGTGGCAAGCAGCTGTTATACCACACAGCTACGGGTCCGCTTGAAATTGCGGTGAAACGAACTTCCTTTGCTTGTAAATGCAGTGAAAATAACATTAATGCTTTACAAGCACACGAGTACTGTACGTGCACAGGCTTTACAACACAACGTGTAATATCGCAGTAATATTGCGCGGTGCAAGCATAAATTGCCATCGGGTGTCAGGACACGTTATTATCATAACGACTTAGTGGTTAAGAGACAGCCACCCCTTACATAAGATAAGAAACACAAGTTACTGCGCATATTTCCTTAAAACCATGCACGTAACGAATTAATAGACACTTCGAAAATATTTTGCTCGCATAATAGCTTGTGGTTGAAAGCATGCTACCGATTACAAAGAATGCAGGCAAATGCAAAGGCCTCACTGACTCTAGCCATATTCAACAGTATTGAATAAATGGTAGTTATACGCCATTTAAACTTCGAGAGCTAGATCATACAATAAAAAAAAAACATGCACTAAGTGGTTGAAAGACGCGCTATAGAGACCGTTCAACTAAATGTGGAGTTTAAGGGTCCCCCAAATTTTCTGTGCTTCAGTGTTTAGTTTCGACCAGTATTCATCTGGAGAATGTATACATTCGTGTAACTTTGCAATTTTGGCTGGTACCGGTTTTAAAACTGCGACCAAAACTTGTGGCTCGTATGCACGCAGGCAGTCTTAGTGGTTTCTAG